ATACCTAGTTCTTGTCATTTCATACTTTTTGTCAGTGTACTTAAAAAAATGTTTACAAATTTGAAATACTGGTTCACTTTTTTGGCCTTTGACTTTACCATTTCATCAATGTGTCTTATTGTCCAGGTCTTGTGACTGTGACAGCTCACTTAGTCTTTATCGGAGGGTGACCTTGCCTCTCAGTATGGTGTTGCTGGCCTAGATCTCTTGTTTTACTGTCTGCACTGACAGCTTAAACTGGGTAACAGTCCTAAGTGGTGATTTTATGTAACATCAACAAGGACTTTCTTCCTCTCTAAAATTAAGACACGTCAGAAATTGAGGATGTTCGCTAAGCCTAAATTTATGAGCTTATGTCTAGGTTAACCAAAATCACTTCATTAATTTATTGTCTTGCCTTCCGTGCTATTATATTTAGTAATCTGTACCTGTGAGAACCTGCTCATTTCTAGATTAGATATCATTAATCATTTATGTGGAATAACTTTTTCAGGAACTATTGTTAAAAGTTTGTATTCAAAGTCTATCTCCTTTTATATATGTGCTAATAATTTTCAGAAACTTACAATAATTAGCATTTGTAAGAAGTAAGCTATTAATGTATTTTACATCTTTGGTTTGTTGCATTTATTCTCTTGATACTATTTTATTCATGTTTTGGTCTTTCGTATTGTATGTTTTTATGTATACTCTAAGACAATTAGATCATTGTGCTATTACCTCATAGTATTTGCTTCAAACTCTTTAACAAATATTTTTAAAATTTAATGAGGCCAAAACAATCATCTTTAAGAATTGCTTCTGACATCTACATTTATACAAATTATTACAAATGTATGTAGGCTGTGTTTACAACAACTACAGAGGAAAATGACCTGATTCTTTCTGTTTAACTTCACAGCCTTTGGTTCTTTTGAGGCATGTTAGTAGCATTTATGGGGGAACTTAATGTGTTTGGACTTAGAATAAGAGTTAGAATAGCAAACATTATTTAGACAATAATTTCTGCAATAAATTATCTAAAATGCATTTACATTGCCCAGGTGTACAACAGTTGTCTTTCTATGGCAATTGCTTTTGGGGTTACAGATATTTCTACTATAGATGCTGCACATATGTGTGCATGTATGTGTGTTTATGTGTGTGTGTGCTGCAGTGCAGCGATATTAGTCTCATGAAAATTTAAACTGCACCTAACAGGGCTAGGGATTTAGCTCAGAGGTTCCTCTGTCTGTCTCGTGAACTGGGTGCCGAAACAAACAAACAAACCCACTGCACTTAACAGCAGACCTCAGATCTATCCAAGTAGCCAAGAAAACTGCAACAGTATAGTTCTCTGAGGAAATGTATTTCCCCGTTTTAAAAAGGTATCTTTTAAGGACTTTCCTAAATAATTAGAAAGAAAGACATGTGTGCATGAAATTTGAAGTCAGTTCCTAAGTAGAGTGAATTCAAAATAATTTATCTATGCCTAAATCAGAAAAGTTAAACAGAGTGCTTTTTGTATTTATACAGTTATTTTCTGTTCTGTCAAATTTGTTTGTGATGGTCAGAAAACATTACATTTAAAAATTTAGTATATAATAACACTTACCTCTGACTCATCACAAACAATTTTATTAAGTATGTAACTTTGTATCAGAGAAGTTATTGTGGTCAATACAGGTTAATAAAAGCTCAGCTTTTTTAACTAACAAAATCTTATGTAGTTGTAAATTAAATGTATGGCTATCTTATTGGTTACATTATGAATGAAATTAATTGATTGATTTAATCAAGATATCATATCTTCCTTAGAAATTCATTTTAATTAAAATTCTAAGGTTACCTCACTTACCAAAGAGAATATCATAATACTTATTTAAATTAATGACACTAATATTTTATTCCCTAATACGATGAACTGAAACACCATGCAAAATACATTTTTAAAATCAGATATATTTACTTCACTAGGCCATCAAATATTCCTGGTGAATATTTATTTATAAATATCCACTATCAATTTGATCCCACCTTTCCTTTTTGAAAAGTAGGTTGCAGCCAGGCATGGTGGTGCATGCCTGAAATCCCAGCACTTGGGAGGCTGAGGCAGGAGGATTGCTGTGAGTTTCAGACCAGCCTAGGCTACATAGTGAGTTCCAGGTCAGTCTCAGCTACATGGTGAGACCTTGTCTCAAAAAACAAAACAAAAAAAAAAAAAAAACAAAAAATTAGGTAGGTTACATCTGTGATTCACTGTGTATGTTTCCAAATACTCTAAATTTTAAACTTTACTTAGATCATGGATATAGGATGCAAAGAATGTGGTCATTGAAAAGAAATGAGGAGCTAAAAGAAAAACTGTTAGATATTTTATCCTACCAAGCAATTACAAAAAGAGAAAACAGTTAAAACAGTACATGTAAATCACAACTTTGACAATGAGGTAAAAAATGTTCATGATGAAGAACTGAAAATTATCTATGTATCTTCCCGAAGTTTAAACTTACAAAAATAATAAACATTAGCTTTCTACTTATATTTTCTAATAAAATTTGATAAAACAATGAATAAAAATCCTATTTTCCAATGAAAGCAGAAATATGATTTGTAAAACAAAATTTGAATATGTTGTCTAAGAACAAGAGAATATCATAAAATTCAGTAAAAAAGTAGACCAGCATTCTAGCTCTCTGGAAACATTTTTCAGAAGTATGACAAATAAACATTTAACATTGACTGGTTTTAAGACTTCATAATGAACTTAAGCAAAATGTATTTATCTATGTTACATGTCAGAGATAAAAGTTTTCTCACTAAGAAAAACAAACGTCATAGATCCCACCTGCTCAGAGAAAGACACTAAAAATAGACATGGGGTTAATTATGGGACAGCACTGTGAGAAATTGAGATTTTTTGTGGGTGTTTTTGTAACTCTAAATATAAATTAAAGTGTATTCTCTTGGGAAATGCCGAGACTGAAGGAAAAGGTTTGAGGGTCAGTGTTGTCCTTGAGATCAGGAGTTGCCCACCTTGGTCAGGTAACCTTTCTTGAGCCACCACACACACACACACACACACACACACACACACACAGCAGCAGCAGCATTAGAGTTCCCTAAAAACTAACTTTGCAATGAATAGAAAGAAAAAAAAATCACTTGCTGACAAAATAAACTTTGATCAGTGTAAAAGCAAGAGATTTAGGAGTGAGCCCTGTGCACTTTTGAAGACAGCGTGCCACTTTGATGCTCTGAAACTCTTTCTTCTCCATCACTTCATGCAAACACACGTTTTTATTTACGTCTATGTTTATTTTTTTTATTTGTTCGCACTGCCTCTGGTCAGAGGCCTATTCCTTCTCAATATACTTATATTTCTTCTCATCTCCCCTACTAAATCTTGGTCTCAGTGTATAGAAAGAAGAATTTAGGTTTTAACTGCAACTGAATTTTTCCCCTTGTAAAAATTTAAATAAGGTAAAATTTATTAAAATTTTCTTACTGATCATACCATTGTTTACAATGAATGTACTATATGTAAAAAGAGCCCACAATATGATTTTATGGATTTCTTTACTTTTTCTTTATTTTTAGTTTTCAAAGGGATGGCTACAATGAAGGCATTTAAGTGTTTAGGATATTAATTACTAAGAGGAAAATATGATTTTGTTTATTTGTTTGGATCGTTTAAATAGTGCAACAGCCATACTTATTAGAATTTGTATCCCCGTGGTTTGAAATGTTAGCAGAGATGTTATGGAAAATTGTATGGATATTCCTCAAAAACTAAAAACAGGACTACTCTAGAATCAAGCAATTCCACTGGATACACACGCAAAGGAGATGAAGTCTTTATATAAAAAAGATACTTCGCCTCCATGTTTATTGTAGCATTATTTACAAGAATCAAACTATGGGATCAATTCAGAGGTCCTCAATGAAAGGAAGACACTTTAATGTATTTGCATAGTGTACCACCCTCTGGCTATGAAAAAGAAATGTCGGCCCCTGAAGTAACACGGAGAAAGTTATGTGGAGTGAAACAAACCAGAAACAGAAAGACAAGTAACACATGTCCTTATTAAATTATTGAAATAATAAATCAAGCTTGAGGAGCTTTGGGAGGAATAATGACCACTAGAGATAAAGAAGAGTAGGAGGAGAAAGACACCGATGAAGCTGGTTTTCTAGGTAGTAAGCAGTGTTAGAGGGGCAGCAGCAGAATACAGGGTGTGAGAAGACCAAGAAGATATGATCAATGCACTAGGTATGCTTGAATATGATTCTCACAGTGAATTCTATTAGTGTAATTAATACTGGTTGGTGATTACAATAGTAATTTATAGCAACCCATAAGGAAAATAAAGAATTTGTGTTCTACCGTCACCAAATATGCTTAGCCTAAATTACTCTGCTTCTTAATGTGTACCAGGTACAATGTTTAGAAGTGCTTCCGCTTGACCACTGGAGACGAGTTATTAATACATTGCAGCATGTTCTCACTTTGGCTCTGCTGCTGTGTCGGGGATGTCACGCGGATCACAACCTTTGCAGGAGTGAGGTTCCTCACCAATAAAATCTGGATCATAGTTTCAAAGGCCACTGGGCAGCTCCACTGCTTTTGCATATACTGACAGAAAACAAAACATCCAAGCTCTTCTGCATCAACCCTGGGATGTTTGTATTTGTGCGAACAATAGTTCATGTTCTCCCCTAGAAGATAATCATACAAAAATCTTACTGCTAATTGGTCCCATCTTTCTGTGAGTGGTAACTTTTCTTAAGCTTTTCATCATCGAGAAGAAATTGCGACTACTTCTAAGTTGTACCACGTTTTCCCTAAAATCAGATCAAGAACACGTTTAGTGGTTCTTTTATTAGTTAAACTTTACATATCTGAGTTGGAAAATGAACTTTAAAAAATATTTTATTTTAATAATTAAGATGATGTGTTATCATTGAAATCAAAGGAATGAGCCAAGTTAAATTGACTATTTAGTATGTCTTTCCTTTAGGTTATTCATACCATCAGTGCTACTGATAAAGATGATTTTGCCAATGGACCACGGTTTAACTTCTTTCTTGATGAACGCCTTCCTATGAATCCAAACTTCACCCTTAAGGACAACGAAGGTAAACCTGAATATATATAATGTACATGTATATATTTTTTTCAGTCTATGTGTTTTCCGCTATAACTCTTGTTGAATAGGCTGGTTAGTTTTGCTTTATTCTTATAACCCCAAAACAGCTTGAAAATCAGCATTCAAGTCAGTTTGATGTTAATGTGTTATGATCTGTGAATAGCTTGTATTTAAAATGGAGCCATATGCACAAATAACACTCATTGAATTTATTCAGAAACACTCCTTTAAATGAGAAATGTACATGTAATATGCTCTTGGCAAATTTTAAGAGAAATCTTAGCTGACAAACATGTTTATAAGAGCTGATGCAAATGCTAGAAGGTAAGAAATATTTAAATTAGGAAAAAATGAAAAATATACCCTAGAGACAGTTATGAACGGAAATGCAATGCTTGAAATCATCTTGTATTAGCAAGGCTATCAAGATATTCTGTACAAATTCTATTTCCTCTTGTTATTGTGAACATTTACCAAAGTATTGCAGGAATTTATGCGTAATTGCAGAGTATTTTGGAAGTACTTAAAACTCTTTTGGTTTAACTATATTTCATAGGGGAAATAACAACGCAGAAACTTAGTAACAATGGAAGCTTCAACATTGTTTAGATACCATGTTTGTCAGACCCCTCGAGGTTGTTTAGAAATCATCCTTTATCCTAAAGGGAAGTAACAAACAAATATATGCAATTTTCTAATTAGCATTGGCTTTCTCCTCCAAACTTTCAGCATATTTATCTGAATATGTTATCATGTAGGATTTAACACTTACTTATGATTATTATATGGGAAAGAGGGGCACATACATTTTGGCATACACATTTAATTATGATTCTATACAAATATTTACAAAGGTATTTTTCTTGTTTTCCCTAAGTGTCTTTAAATGATTATAATGAGAATACTGAAGGTGCATCCAGCCACACCAGGTTATGATGAACATTCAAAACTTAGTTGTCGCTCCCATTTTAAGTAACACTGTAGTCTGCTCTGCTTAGTAGAATGTGGAGTCATACGTGTGTTTGCATATGACAAATTCCATTCAAATGACTTGCACATTTACTTACATTTGAAAATTCATCTTGCAATACATATATGGAGGGCACGGGATTTAGTTCAGCTGCCTTGCAAGCTCAAGGCCCCGAGTTAGATCCCAGGTATCAAAAAAATCATGGAGTCCATGAAAATATGTATACATTAGGAAAAGAAAAATTACTTACATATATTTTAGTGCTGTTTATTGAGATCTCATGAGATTAGTACAAGTTACCTTTATTCTCTACAATAACAAGAGATGCTCAATGTTGGCCATTACCTGCCAGACAGTTATTAGTATGGTGAACTGCTAAAGTGTGTATGCATTTTTTGGTGTATGCTGAATATTCAGTATAAGTAAATATATGAAACATTAAAGAAAATTTATCTTGGCAAAATGGTGCAATCTGTAATCATAGCACTCTGATGGTAGTGTCAGGAAGATCACTAGTTCAAGGCCCACTGGGTATACTGAGTTCCATGCAAGCTGAGCTACATGGTGGGTGAGGTTCTATCTCAAACAAAAAAATCAGTTCCCATTTTTTCTACATTTCAAAAGTATTTTTATTTGGAGTAGCATTTAGCTATCTTAGTAGGATAATTATCCCTTGAAGTTATATTTCACTTGAATTGTCTTTATTCCAATAAAGTTTTTACTTTACATTTAAAATTTTTTCAAATTGATGATGTTGGAGTGAAAATTTAACTTCATACTTAAATTTGTGTTAAGTTTAAGCTACTTCAACTGTATAGCTATGACCTTGAAAATACTTTAAGGGGGTAGAGTTTTCTTGCTGTGGAAACTTACATTACTATCAAAGTTCTTCCTACAACATTATTGAATATGGAATTTATGAATTCAGTTAAGGATTTTATTAAAAATAGCTTAATTCAGTAATATGATAAAATATCACTGTTTGAATTTACATTTAAGGTGTCCCCTCAGAATATATAGACATTTTAAAAGGATATATATGTGTACATTTTCAGCATTTATGCTATTCATACAAATGAATTTTTAAATCATCTAACACATTTCAACTGTGAGAAGCTAATTGAGAGTTATATAGTGTTAAACATACTTCAACATATTTACAGGCATGTTTTGCAAGTTTTGAGAGTTTAAGACATTGTAAATAAGAAACTTAATTTATCTTGAGTGAAAAAAACAGCAAATCTTAAAAAGTGGATGTAACAAAAAGCTGACAATATGTTTGAGCATAAAAACACAACAGTTGTGCTGTAAAAGATCTATTATCCTCCTAAGCCTGAGTTTTACATCCATTAATCATGATTAGAAATTCCAACTAGGTGACCTTAGGAGAATTAATGATATATGAAATTTTTAGACTCCGATAGGCTATGGCTTCCAGACAAGGCAGCTATGGATGATAATTATGAAATGAAATTAAAAGTCCAGCACTACTAGACTCAGGATGCTTAAATATTGTATTTTATGAGTTAGTATATGTTTGTATGCCCTCCAAACATACAGAAAGAAATCTAGAAGAAAAAATTAAAACCATTATTTTTCCGAGGCCACTGATTGCCTAGAAGTGTATATTCAGGAACACAGAGAGCAGTGCATACAGTCACTAAGCTCAAACACATCATAAGAAAGCCATGACCTTAATGGAATATTCCAAAGTGCTCTATGGCAAAGAATGAGTGTAGAGATTTCTCAAAAAAACAGGAGAAAAAAATGCATATTGTTGCTTATGATCAGTATAAGAACCAAAATTTTAAAGGTTAGTGAATGAAGAAATTGCATAAAATAAATTCACTCAGTAATAAAAATATATAAATGTAGAGAAAAAAACTCTCTAAAATAAATAATTCAGTTCCTAAAGTTTAAAAAACTATTAACATCTTTTCAGAAAGTTCAAGGTGCTCATTAAACTAAGACAACAATAATATTTAAAAAATGTATGAAAGCAATTGAAAAAAAATTTACCAAAATATGACTATAGTTTTTGAATATGTAGAAAAACATGGAGAAATACATAAAGAAATTAAGTATAGAAATTAATATAGAGAAATTAATTGTATGTTGTTATATATGCAGACACTATTTAATTGCATATGCATGTATATATGCACATTTAAATCGTACATTTTATAGATAAAAAGTACAATTTTAAATATATAGAAACTATAGTGAAGTATATATTGATAAAATTGAAATATGTAGTTGAAAATGGAACACATCAAATTCAGAATTGTGGTTAGATATGAGAAGAAATGAGAAATGAGATCAAGTTGATAATAAAGAGTGTATATATAATGTCTTATATTTTCGAAAAAGATCCAAAATGTGACTGATAACAGATATAAAATTTGAGTAGCAATATCTTAATTTCCATGTGATTGGAATAGTTAGGTTTAGTAGGTGACCTAGCACAAAAAAGAAATTCACACATTCATTTAACAAGTGTGAATATAAGGGCTATTTATGTCAATTTCTTTAATTAATGATCACCTCTTCACAAGTGTAATTAAGGTCTATTTCTTGCTTTCAAAGACATCTCCTTTGACAGAACAATCCTTTGTTAAATGGTACAAGAAGCCATAAGGGTAGCTCACACCTGTCATCCCAGCTACTCTAGGGGCTAAGGCAGGAGGAGTCCAAGTTCAAGGCTGGCTTGGGCAATTTTAGAGATCTTACTTCAAAAAAAAAAAAAAAGAAAAGAAAAGAAAAGTGTGAAGAACTGAGGGTGTATTCAGTGATAAACTGCTTGCTGACCATGTGTGCAGTTCTGGGTTCCAAAACCAGCGCTTCAAAAGAAAGAAAAAATATACAGTACAAAATACGATTTTAGTATGCAATTAGGGGAAAGAAGTTATGTTTCTATCTCCAGAATAAAGACTTAGTAAATAGTTAAGACTGTTGCTGAGAAAGAGAGATGGATATAGATGAATGAAAAATGTTTGGAGTTTAACAAGGAAAAGGGAAAATAGCTAAAAGATTTTGGTAGACAGGTAAGAAATTCTAAAGACCGTAAGTTGAGGAAGAATATGAAAGTGAGATCAAAGAGCTAAATTCACGATAGACACATAGATATAAAAAGTGGATATCAGGGCCAGGGACCTAGCTCCGTGGTGCCGTTGCCTGCCTTGCAAACACAACCGAGTCTGACACCCAGCACCAAAAAAAAAGTGGATATCAAATTAAAAATTGGAGGAGGTGCAAGCTGTAATCATCATCTATATAGTTTCCTATATTTATTATTATTTATTTATTTGTTTATTTTAGTGCCAGGGATCGAACTCGGGTCCTCGTGCTTGCAAGGCAGACGGTGAAAACACTGAGCTAGATCCCCGGCCCTTGAGCTAAATCTCTGGCCCTATGCCTTTCTATCTCATGCACAGAGACACTAACGTCCTCTCTATTCCCGACAATCTCTTCAAAAATGTTTGTGTAGCAAATCAGTTTTGAGAAATATAGCATCTTGTTTAGGAATAATGGACATATTTATTTCCTGAAACATTTAATGAGAATGATGACTCCATGTGAAACAAATTCTGAGCATGTGTTTGCAAATTGCTGAAAAAAGACCCGAGATTTCCAAACCTGAATTTCCTTAGCTGATGACCAAATTCACTGATGTGCAGCAAACACCTGGCTCTTCCACTTCACTATTTTCACCGTGAAGTATTAAGACACTAGTATGAGTGAGAGTTTGTGCTGCTTTCTGTGAATCAGTTTAAAAACATCCATTGTTTTGAAATCAGGAGCATTGTCTAATTTGAGCACTCATGCATCACACGGTCTAACATTGTAGAACGTAAAGATGATCAAATCTCAAACACAACCTTTCACATCCCTGCTACAGCACTGAACTAATTCCTACTGGAAACTATTCTAAACCACCTACCTTGATGCATTATTAATGAGTGTATACTAAACTTATTCCAAAGAAAGGATACTTTATCAGTTTAGATACCTAGAATCAA